CCATGTTGATCAGTGGCAATCTCTTGCGCAGTGCTCACTTTTCCGGCATGACATCGGACATGGGAACTGTACTGGGGCAGTACTTGCGGGGTAACACGGAAAGTGCTTGGAAGCTCCCCGCGTGGATGGCGCTGGTATCCAGTTTTACTCTGGGAGGATACGTCTCGGTCAAGGCAGTGTCCGCAGTGGGACGAACGGCATTGATGCTACCGGTGTCACTGTATCTTTTGGTGAGTGCTTCTGCAAGTCTGCGGCAAAGACTCACAGCGAAGGATTAGGAATTCGCGTTATGTACAGAGATTCCTACAAAGCTGGACGTCTCCAACATCTCGTTTCAATAGATTATACACGAAGATAGCTGGAGCTGAGAGAACGAGGATAGATTGGGACTCGAAAAATTTTTTGCGTTTGGTCGGTCGACAAGCCATGAACAACAGTCCGGTTCCGTATGGACCAGTCCGTTCCAAACATACTTATCAATTCATAGCTATTGTAAGGCATAAAAAACAGTGAACGTCTTTAGAGTGAGTGAGTTGCGAGCCAGTTTCTTCACGCGCATCGTCGTTTGAAGCAGCCATTCATAGTGTCTCCTGATCTGACAATGGATTCCTATCCGTGCAATTCCGTAGGATCGCTCGCTAGGAATAGTTGGCTCCGAACATGTCACCGAAAATGGATCCTCCTTCCTTCGCAGCACTTCAACAGAACGGTACGCAAATGTTGTGGGTGTAAAATACTCATTAGTTTAGCAAACTATGGCCACAGAGTGGCTTTTATGACGCGGGCAAGTGGTGGGGAAGCCCCCACCTAGCTGAGTCGTCATCTACTTGTTTGCCCAATCAACATGACCTCATCCACTGGCCCAACGTGGAGCCAGCACCAAGTAGACAGATGGGGGGGTGAGCACATTGATAGGGAACCTGCAGCGCAAAACCTGGGTTACAGGGGCTTACACAGGATTTTTATCGGTATTGAAACCATTATCACCAAAGGGACCGTGAGGACCAGTTAGATTGCCAGACCAAAGAGTGCTCGCCAGTAAGTGTGTCTGGGTGATCA